TTTCTTTTTGAACAAAGGGTTTTTATTAGAGAGAAAATATCTACATCTCCTCTTTATTTGTCCCAATCAAACTTACTAAATTGGATGTGATGACGTGTATACATGAGGTCTCATTCCCCTGGAACCAGTGTGTGTGTGGGGGGCGGGGCTGGAGGGTTAGAACAGCACTTTGCTAAGATATGACTTTACTTCCGTGTGAACTTGAGTCACACTGATGTATATCTGTTGCTGAGTAGAACATGGAATGAACCAGAAGTTAAAGGGACTTCGTGGAAAGAAGCTATTGCGGCTTAGCTCTGACTGCCCAGATCACGCCTCTGACGGCAGCAGATAATCCCTGTGCATGATTATAATAACGCTTGTGAGTATGGAGGATTAAGATGGCGTAGATGCATTTTAGTGCATGTTAGCATATCTGAAGTTGGAATTAATTTTTTTTTTTTTTTTTTACTAACCTCAGCATTTACAATGATTAAAATAACTTGCAAATCAATTCTATTCTAAAATACGAAACTGTACATTATATGTTTTCTACAAAAGTGAACACCAAACCTAATGCTAAACCAGTGTTCTTGGCAAACAGCCTTTTGAAGATGTAACTGCAACGGGAGTGTAGTGTATTCAGCTGCCGTGTTATACCCTGGCTCTTGCTCAGGGACAGATACGTGTGAATGATGCAAAGCAGACTTCTGCAAGCAGACTTCTGCAAGCAGACAGAAAGGAAATCAGAAAACCACTCATCATTTTCTCTTCCAATAGCAAACAGTACTGATATATAGTTTTCTTTTTTATGATGAACTTAGGTCTGTTATAAGTATTAAAATTCTGCTTCTAAAAGGCAGAGTCAGATAACACTTTGAAAAGAGAACCAAACCTAATGGCATTGAGGACCAATTTAAATTGAGGTATTGAGAAATAAGGATTTACTTCACAGCTATATTAAGTTTCCAGTATTAAATACATAGTTTTTGATGTTTGTGCTTTAAACCTCGTGGTAACTACTGCTATTTGAATTTCTGCATACGGGGTCCAGGAAGTTGAGTGTTGTACTCACTCACTGTTGGGGTTCTGCGGCATCCATAAACAGCATTTCTTCTTCCCACCCAGATCAGAACCCACTGAGAGATAACAGATGGATTCCAGTGAATAGAGATGAGGGAGGTCAGCTTTATTGCTGGTGAAATGTAGGGGACTGTGTGACTTAGGTAGGCAGCCAGTCTTCCTAATGCTACACCTTCCCAAATAAGCTTACACACCCAGTTCCTGGTAGAGGTGAAAAATCTCAAGCCTCACCTTTGGCGACCTGACCCTGTGGAATCAGTAGTATGGAGAGGCAGGGAAGCACCTTTGGGGTCGTGTACTGATTTCCTTGGAGGAAGGGGTTGAGCTGAACATGCCATTTCTTCCCCCAACTCACCAATCCGATGACTGGCTCTTCTTCCTGTGGGGAAGTGCAGGGGGTGGACTGAGGCCGGACGCTGCTGCCCTGGCGGTTCCTCCACAGGGAGTGTGAGGGGCAGGGCGTGAGTGTTCCTCGGCGGGGCCTCGGAGCACGGCTGAGCACACTGGCACTTCAGAAAGACAGTGCTCAGGTCTGTTGGCAGTCTGTCCTTGAATCAAATGACCTCATGCTGAACTGCTTCCTAGATAACACTAACCATTTGAATTAGTTATCAACAGAAATTTAGATAATAAAGGGAAAATATGAATAACAAATAAAAACAGAATAGGGCAGAAGGGACACAAAGTCAGCCACGTAGTCAAGAAGGGGGCAGGACTAGACTAATGCTTCAAGGAAAATAGTGGACTTCCCAGATGACCATTTAGTGACTAGTGGTCTTACAAATTTCTGTAACAAATGGAAAAAAAGAGTCAGATAAGGTTGTTTTAAAAATAACACCCCTAAATGAAAACTAGGGTGACCACCAGTCTTGATTTGCATTGGAGTGTCCTGGTTTTATCACTGAAGGGTCCTCATCCCAGGAAACCCTCAGTCCCTGACAAACTGGATGGTTGGTTGTTCTACATAGAAACTGAGAATATAAAACCACAGAGCAAATTAATTACCCAAAGGGCAAAGCCAGCAGAGTCCAGGCTAGAGCCTAGGCCAGCAGAGGGGTGCCAGGCTTGCCCATCCACCAGCACATTCTAGCCTGGGGGTTAAGAGGGCTGGGGGCGGGGGTGGGGGGCTCGGGAGGAGGCACACCTGGGTTTGAATCCTTACTCTGCTAGCAGCAGGTGAACCTAGGCAAATTACTTAATCTCTCCCCTACACCTTGGTTTTCTTATCTATAAGATAAGCTGGCTTGAATTTTACCCTTTAGGGTTGTAATAAGGATCAAATGAGAACATCCACATAAATGATTAATTAGGTCAGTGACTGGACTTGATTGGCTTACATGGTATTTCACATTTAATCAGGAGATTTCCCATAAAAGCTGGGATTTCTGACGTTTCTGACCAATCAGCAGGTCCTTCCATCAGTGAGGGAGGCTGAGTAGCAGATGTTCCCTTAGAAGGGTCATATATTCTCCAGGAAGACAGGGCCGCATCTGGTCCTCTTTGCTTCATGTTCTTGGCCCTTTGGAACCCTGTGATTTCCATCCCTGTTAAAGCCTTTGCTGTGTAGAGAGTGGTTCAAGCACTGGGGGTCTTTAGGCCCCACCCAAACCTACGGAATCAGAACTTTAATTGGTTCTTTTGGTGATACTTATAGTGAAGTTTGAGAAGCACTGTTACAAACCACAGAGCATTATTGCTAGCCAGGATAACAGGATCCTCTGGGGAGTTTTTTGCTTGTTTTTCACCAATTTCCAAGACCCTAGCCAGATTTACTGAAATCAGAGTCCTTGGTATGGAGTGTTCCGCCTGTCAGATGAATATAAGCCACAAAATTTCACTGTGCATATTTGAGAAATATGGGTTTCAGTTTAGATGTAAAAAAGTTAATTGTTATCCTATTGTGGTCCTCAGATAGAACAGGTTCTACCAAAAATGCTAACTGTACAATCTGACTGTACTTCATGTTGAAATTCTGCCCATCAATAGATCTGTTTGATTATAACTTGTTAGATGAAGTCTGGTTACACGTGGATTGGCTTTTTGGAAGGATGTTGCGGTGGTTTGAAGGGGATGTGTGTTAGTTTAGGTCATTGCTCATGCCGCCCAAATCGTTTCAAAGAAAGGAGATTGAATTGAGAAAGTTCTCTTGGTTTTAATATTGTCTTACTGATTTGCAGTGGAGCAGTGAGATTCTAAAAATAGCAACACTATTAGCTGACTTTTTTTCCTTTAAAAATATTTTGGCTTGCTCTTAGGAAAATGCTTAACTTGTTCCTTTGATGGAGTTCTGTTACTCTCAACCAGTGTGTGCCTTCAGGCCTCCAGTTATTATTTGCTAAATTACTTTTCAAGGCTGCTAATTGCTTCTCAGAGGCTCCTAGTAACTTAACCCTCATTCAAAGTTTATTTGATCAAATTATCAAAGTTGCCACATTAGAAGTTTCCAGTGTTAATTCCTTTTTATGTAAAACTTTGCTATATAGTAAGTTTATATTTGATGAATTTGTCTTTTCAAGTTATTTTTAACTAATTTTCTTTATTCCAGTTATTTTATTTATTAGTTTATTTTTGTTACATATGTTTCTCCTTTTTCCCTCGTTGACACCCTCCTCTTGATCCCCCTACCCCCTGGCATTGTTGTCTATGTCCATTGGTTATGCTTATATGCATATAAATTCTTTGGTTTATCTCTTCCCTGCCCCGTGCCCCCATCTTCTAAGGTTTGTCAGTTTGTACCTTATTTCTGTGTCTCTGGGTCTATTTTTTTCATCAGCGTATTTTGTTCATTATATTCCACAAATAAGTGAGATCATGTGGTATTTGTCTTTCTCTGATTGGCTTATTTTACTTAACATAATACTTTCCAGGACCCTCCATGTGGTCTCAAAGGATAAGAGATCTTTCTTTCTTACAGCTGCATAATACTCCATTGTGTATATGTACCACAGCTTTTTTATCCACTCGTTTATTGATGGACACGTGGGCTGTTTCCAGATCTTAGCTATTGTAAATAGTGCTGAAATCAAGGTGCCAGCAAGAATTGATGTTCTCTCTCTCCATGTTTCTCTTCCACTCTCTCTCTAAAAATCAATAAAGAAAGAAAGAAAAATTTTAAAAAAAGATGTGAAGGTGCCAGCAATACCACACTCTGCCTGGAGGCTCCAGAGGAGAATGCCTCCTTCTTCGTTTCTCTGCTGTTGACATTCTTTGGCTTCCCTGCTTTGGGGTCACATCATTCCATGTCTTCACATTGCCGTTCTCTCTCTCTCTCTCTCTCTCTTTCATGCCCTTCTCTTATAAGGGGATTTATTATTGAATATAGGGCCCTCCTGGGTAATCCAAGATGATCAGTAGCCTCATCTCAAGATCCTTAGCTTAATTAAATCTACAAAGACTCTCTTCCTCAAGTAAGGTAATTTTCACAGGTTTCAGGGATGTGACTTTTTGGGGCCACTGTTCAACAAAACTGTACAATTCAGCGGTTTTTTGTATATTCACAGAATTGTGCATTCTTTACCACTACAAATTTTACATTTTCTTCACCCCCAAAACAAACACTACCATTAGCAGTTAGTTACTCCTCGTTTTTCCCAATCCCCCTAGCTCTAAGCAATCACCAATCTATTTCCCGTTTCTGTAAATTTGCCAAAAAAAAATTTTTTTGGATGCCTGTCTCCAAATCCATAACCACTTTAGCTCTCAAAACCCAAAAGTTCTTGGTCAGCTATAATCTCAATGACGGCAGGCACCTTATCTTTCGTTTTTTCTTGTAAACTTTGTATGGAGCGTGTGGTGACTGTCTAATACGTAGTATATGAGAATGTGATCATTGCTTCATGTGTAAAAGGGCTTACTGTTGTATAGGCTGAATGATTTTTCTTAGTTATGTACACATTTCTGATTGTCTAACAACTTTGGTTATTGTTTTTAACGTGCAGATGACCAGGAGGCTGACGAAAGGACAGAAGAATATAAAGAATCTTAAGCACAGACTTCCGGGGTGTGCAGTAAGAAAGTTGGTAAACTAAGTCAAGTTATACCTTTTCAGATTCTTTGAATTCAATAGACCATTTCTCAGATAATGATGTTAATATTTGGGCTCTCTCTGGATTACATTTCCTTGATATTTTTGAGACTTGTGGTGTTATTTTTCAGTGGTTTTTCTTTATTGAAATTCCTGGGAAAATTGTTTTTTATTGCTAATCTTGTAACATCAGGGATACATTATAGAAACCAACATTTTCTGTATATGTGCTGTGTTAGAACTAGTTGACGTGCTGATTGTTTTGTATTTGGTTTTATATGTTACAACCTCATTGTGATTCAGGCAGATTTAATCACTATAAATTTTCGTTTTGGCCCTGACTTTCTGTCTTTCCTCCAAATCTAATGCCTGTTAAGTACAACTTGCCATAGAAATAAATGAATTTTCTCAACAAAGCCATGTTTAGGTAGACTTTACTATCTTATTAGTAATGATACTTTTCTCTAGTAAGAGTTTGTATTATTTGATGTATTACTTTACGTTTGCCATCTTTTAGAGTTTATCTTTTAGAATGCAGCAAATAAAATTTAAAAACACTTTAAAAATACTCTGCAGTACTATTTTAAAAGAGAGGATTTGTCTAGTTACAAGTCAGTAACCTGGATTCATGAGAAAATTTTATACCAGCACTCCATATGATGAGTTGGCATTAGAACTAGAAGTCCAATTTATGTTTGATTTAACAAATGGACTGGCTGTTGTGCTGCCTTTAATGAAATTTGGAGTAGTGTATATGTAGCATTATTTTTTGCTTGCACATTTTCTTTTTTATCTGAAAAACAGATATCCATATTTATTCAGTGATTTTCCAGAACTCCAGTGAGTAGAGGACTTATGAGAATTAGTAAAATAACATATGTGAATTCTAAAGCATTCAGCCTCATGTAATAGACACAAATTCACCTCAAGGGAGGCCATATAAATATATTGGTAGAGAGCATGGGTTCTGGAGTCAAAGATCTGTATTTAGATCTTGAAGCTTCATTTAGTGAATATGTACCCTTGGTGGTGGTTTCTTAAAATCTCTGAGTCTTAGTCTTCCCCTCATGTGTGAAATGGTGGTTAAGTAAAATAATGTGTGTAAAGTTCTTAGTATAATGCTTAGCATACAGTATACATTTAATAAATGCCAGTTATTACATTGCCCTTGATTTTAAAATCGTTCAGTGCTGGAATCCAAATTTCACAAACACTGCTGTGTATTGTATATAATATTCTCTTAAACCTATAGCCAAATGAACATGGTAGGGATGGTATATACCAAATGCACTTTATGTGATTATCTTTTAGTTTGGAAATATAGGTTTTTTTTTATTCTGCCATTGACCCACTCCTTCTAATCTTCCTCCCATTACCTCAGAGTTATTCATCAAATCAATTCTGAGTTATCTTGAGATATCTGAGTTATCTTTCACTTACAAAGGACAGAAACCCAATTCAAACAAATCTGAGCAAAGGAAAACAAATTTGAACAAAGGTTTATGTAACTGGAATGTCAGGGGTTGGGATAATATTAGTGATTGTTTTGCTGAATTTTCTTGACTTTTTAGAATGAAGAATTCTCTGCAGTTACTGTTTTCAGAGCATGGGATAGGCAACTTCTTTTGGTCACATTAAAATAGCAGTGTGCTGTTTCATGTGCTGACCTCAGTGTGCTACAATGTACCTTGTCTGACAGAAGAGTTTTTGTCGTGGGTGCCATCATTTGTGATGTAGGGCTTGGGTCAGAAGAGTCAGACAGGAGAGGTGATATGGGTGGGAATTTGGAGTGGTGGAAGAAAGGAGCCATTTTTGCCTATCAGCCTTTCAAAAGAGCTCAGCTTTCTAAACCCGTGTGTGTGTGTGTGTGTGTGTGTGTGTGTGTGTGAGAGAGAGAGAGAGAGAGAGAGAGAGAGAGAGAGAGAGAGGAAGAAGCGAGGTGTGGAGAGGTGGGGTGGGGGAGAGCTTATGGCTCTATAATGTGTTTCTGCAAATGGGCAAATGGTATAATGGTGTCTGGGGCACAGTGAACCTTTATGTCACTGGAGTGTAAGAGAGGGGACGGAAAACAATGATCTTAAGTGATGAATTTTGCTATTACAAGAAGTGACACCATTCCATAGCATGTCAGCTGATGGTCCCTCTAACAAGAATGGGTAAACTGAACTTATAATATAATTCAACGTGAAGGCTCCAGATTTTTTTCAAAAGTTACCCTCTAGGAGGAGAAAGTGTTCTTATTAAAAATCAGTGTTTTTATCTTTAAGGTTTCCTTTAGAAGAAAAGGTTGCCACAGAACAAGATAGAGGTGAAAAAGTAAAGAACATTTTAGGAATGGATTTAAAATCTTAAAATTAGAGGTTTGTGGACTTAAGGCTTCGCAAGAAAACTCCTGGCACCACCTTCATTGTGAATTCCCGCGGGACCTGAAGTCTGTGCCCTTCATCCGACTCTGAAACGTGTCAGTGTGCTCGTGCGGGAGGAAAACTACACCTCGCTGCCATAATTGTAGTTTTTTCATATTACTTAATTAAATTTAATAAAAAACATTCCTCTTAAAGTATATAATTAGGAAGCGAGTAAAAATAGCAAGACAGAAAAATACAGAATGGCATATTTAGGAGAAATAGTAATTCCTAACATGAAACAGAAGTAGAATTTAGAGAGCAATAGAATGGTTTCTCTAAGAAAGAAAAGAAGATATTAAAGAAATCGTATAATTCTCAGCAATAAAGTTAATAGACAAATTTTCAACATTGCAGAAGTTAATTTAAAAAGTCAGTTATATTATGGTCAGTGGAATGAAGGATGAGGCCTAGAAGAATAACATGGATATTGCAGGCCTAAAATAAGTCCCATTTGGTCATGGTGTGTAATCTTTTTAATGTTTTGAATTTGGTTTGTTAATATTTTGTTGAGGAATTTTGCATCTTTATTAGGATATTGGCCTATAATTTTCTTTTTGTGTGTGTAATGTCTTTGTCTAGTTTTAAAATCAGTGTAATCTGGCCTTGAAAAATAAGTCAGGGAGTCTTTCCTCCTCTTCAATTTTTTGGAATAGGTTGAGAAGGATAGGTGTCAGTTTTTCAAACTCTATAATCATTACCTTCTAGTTCTTGATTCTTCACCTGAGTGCCATCAAATGATTTGGCAATTTATATTTATATATGATTATGCTAGCCTAGATACATGTTTTAGAATGAGAGAGAAAAATCAACAAGGGAAGAAGATTCTGTCCTGTTAATCCTTTCTAGTGTTTAATGGACCTTCAAGCCAGACCTTTAAATTACTCATAACATTTCTTATTCTACTGGTTCTTATTAGAACTTGCAGTTAATTGGTCAGTAGTCGACATTCATGGTTAGCCTGCCTGAAACTTTGTCCTCTTCATAAAATGATTTGATATATTTTAATGCATATATATTTTTAGATTTTCTACCATTGTCTTTAGCCATCTGTGGTGAAAGGTATTTTCATTTTTAAAAGATGTATCTGTGGAGTTTGGCTAAACTTTCCAAGGTCAGTTTCTCCCTCATGACGCTTCTGCAGCATCTCCACAACATGCGGTGTGTCGCTCACCCAGTGCCGTCTCGAGGGTTGGAAGATGTAGGTATGAGAATGTATGTGCTTCAGTCCTGGCTTGTCCTTTCTTTCCATTGTTTTTTTTTAGAAACAGAACTAGAGTTTGAAAAGGATTCAATAAATGATAAAATATGACATTGCATCTTTTAAAAAAAAATTTTTTTTTTATACTCACCTGAGAACATTTTTGCATGTAACTTCAGATAGAGTGGGAAGGAGAGAGGGAGGAAGAGAGAAACATTGATGTGAGAGAGACACATTGAGTGGTTGCCACCCACACAACCCCAACTGGGGTGGGGACAAACTGCAACCGAGGTACATGCCCTTAGCGTGAACCGAACCCAGGACTCTCTGGTCCGCGGGCTGACGCTCTAACCAATGAGCCAAACTGGCCAGGGCAACATTGCATCCTTTTTGGGGGGCTGTTTCTGTTTTCTGTATTTTTATATGGCAGGCTAATTTGTTTTCTTTTATTCAACAAATTCAGTAAGTGTGTATTCTAAACAACCCAGTCTTCTTAAATTATATGGAAACTAAATATTAACCATCACTTACTGGAATTTCTTTTTGTGTGTGTCATACTGATTGAAGAGTGGACTGTACGCATACGCATAACATAAAGCCCGTAGAGAACAAATGAACGTGGGCACAGTAAGTATAAATATAAATTTCCATATGATTTATTGTTGTTCCTTGTACATAAGAAACGGTAATATACAACGTACACTGCTTTAGAATGTAAAATGGATAAAATGTACAAAAAAAGCACATTCCTAGAAAAAGGTATTGGCAAATAGTAAAAACTGGGGGTGGGCAAGCAAAAAACAAAAAACAAAACAAACCCAACAATTCTTCAATTCAGTGTGCAAACATTTTATAAAAATAGAAATACTAACTCTACAGGCAGTATTTCCTGATAAATTATTTAAATAGCGTATCTACACAATCTGAGATATCTATTCCAATGGCAATGAGAAAATAATTTATAAAAATAAAGCAATGGTATATAAGCTGATAGAAAAAAACATAACTTTCAGAAAATGTATTTATCATTTCAATGCTATTTCCTTACCGGGAATACTTTTCTGCGAAGAGTTTTTATACTATGTACAACATTGACTTTTTTTTTTTTAGGTACTACAGTAGCTTTAAGTTTGTTAGACACTTAAACTCTTTCTGCTTGAGCCAGAAGTTCTTTACTCAGTCACACAACAAATGAGGTAATATCTGTATGTAAGTTTCACCTTTGTCATTTTTTTTTCTTTTGGAAAAAATGAAAAAAATAATAAGCGTAGATGCTTTTCTTCTCCCTGGAAATAGGCACAAGGGCTGGGGTAAAACAGTATCAAAGGCCTCATGGCTTTCTTTGCAATCTAAAA